TGATGCACTTGTAACAGATTCAGCTGCAGGTGCCAAGGCATCCACACCTAGAACAGCCGGATCACAATTGCTTGATCTCGACGACACGTGGCTCACCAACGATTGCCGCCGGTACTGGGTTATTAACTCCCTGCACCGTAACTTTATTTTTTTTTTTGCTCCTTTTACCCATTGTTGTTGATTTATATAAGGGCATTACCCCGATCCATTTTGGTCCACGGTGGATCCGAAGATCTCGAAGGTTTCCACGAAGTGCAGAGAAAAGTTGATCTAGGAGACCTAGGTCAGTTTCACTCTGCACATCATGGAGACCCGCCATCGGGGAAGATGATTGGAAGGAGATTGGAAACTCCCCTGTGTACGATGTTAAAAAAATATTTTTTTAATCCACGCCTGTGTAGGATGTTAAAAAAAATATGTTTAAATAAATGTTTGAATTTTCTTTTAATTTCATTACATCTATGATATTTTCCAGGAGGATGAAATAAAACCCGTTCAAAATACCCAGGAGACTAAAACAGATTCAAAGGTATGGCTATCAAATTTTAAATACTTGAATGTTAAATATATTTAACTAATATATAAAATAATATTCGTAGATTTCCAAACAATTAGTTGAGGATTACAATGATGAAAAAGATAAAGAACTTTTGGAAAAAGTTGGGGTAAGCATTTAGAATTATTTCCGTTTAATAAATTACACAACAATTTATCATACATCTTCCATACTTTTCTAGCTTTACATTATTAAAAAACCCGAAATTGAAGATTTATATACAATCGAAGAATGTGAAGAAAAGGAAAAGCTGGCAAAAACCTTTGCAAATGCCTGTAAACCATTTTGTAATGTCTTTAGCAATAAACAACCCGAAACGGAAGACACCTTTAGCCTGTTAACGAAAAATGTCAATGAAACATTACGACTAGATTTACAGCTATGCGATATGAAACGTTTGGTAAATCTAATTGTTGTTTGGTATGCCAATTGCTATACGAACAAATTAATTGAGAAAAACACCATACCACCAGCCGTCAATAAGTATTTGCTAATGTTCTTCTATGTACCGAAAACTGCCAGACGTATATACTACTGTGAGTTTTGTGAGGAACATTTAAATACCGAACATCGTTATAATACACATCGTATTAAACATACCGGTGCCATGTATCCGTATCACTGTAAAAAATGTAATATGGGTTTTGGTCGTTTAAATCCGCTGAAGGCTCATGAAAGCCATTGCAGTGGTAAAGAACAGGAGGTATCTTCTTCATTAAAAGTACAACATATAAAAGCCATTGGCCGTACCAAAGAAATTGCCGGCAATATGAAAGTTGAAAATTCTGTTGTACGAACTTCATATGCATGTGCAAAATGTAATATTCTATTTGATAATCAAAATGAAATGAATACCCATTTGGCGACATGTTCTAGGGCGCTGCGGCGTCAACCTAAAATGTGTACACCAAGGCCAAAACAAAAAGTTGAACCGTATTCGAAAAAATAGATTTTAGTGTTTCCAAAAAATTACTTTTAAAATTATTTGTTATATATTTTTGTCGATTAAAATTAATTACTTTTTTTAATAATATAAAGAATTTATATATAAATGTTACTCTTGCCATTTCTGGAGCTAAGTATAGTGACATGTTTATATTTTATATATCTTTTTTATAAACTCGTAGATGTTTTTAACTGTCATGTCTATGATTTAATTAATTACACTTACAGTGTAAGAATTAATTGTTTTTTCGTCTTTCTTTTTCTGGGAAATTCCATTTATTATTTTTAGAATAACACAAATAAACGTATGTATGTGTATATGTTACATTTGTAATGTACTTTATGTAAAAGTGTTTTTTTTTTTTTATTTTTTCATATTGAGATCATGAATTGATAGTCCTTAATAAAACAAATTTAAAAATATCACCTCCTAATAAGGACGTTTTTTTAAAACCTAAAGAAGAGATTTTTTTAAATATATTTTTGATGTACTAAAATAAGCGCCGATTTTGAATTTTGTTTTCATTATTTAAAAAAGAAGAGCCTCTGTCTTATTATTACTGGAAAAGTACCTAATGTTTCGAATTATACAAATAAAATATTTGATAGAAAATCAAAACTAAAACTACAAAAAATATTTGCTGGAACAAAAATATATTTTTGGACAAAAATCAAAAAGAAAAAAATATGTTGGACAAAAATCAGAAAGAAAAAGAAATAAAAATGTTTTGGACAAAAATATATTTTAGAAAAAGAGGACCAAAATGGATCGGGGTAGTGCCCTTAAATAAATTAACTACGATGGGTAAAAGAAGTAAAAAGAATAAAGTTACGGTGCAGGGAGGTAATAACCCAGTACCGGCGGCAATTGTTGCACCTGCAACGTCATCCTGGGATGCGACGCATATGCACACCATTTTCAATGGGGTAGCAAGGACACTAATAAATGAGGTGAGTCCATTTTCGATTTCATTCTATCCTATAATTTACGTATATGTAATAGGGGTAGCGATCCGACCTTTAAAATTAGGGATAGAGAGGAGGTCATTGACTTAACCCTCTCAAATCTAGGTGACTCCGTCATCAGCAATTGGAGGGTATCTTACGAATGTTCCTTTTCGGATCATTTAAAGATACCACAGCCTTGTCGGAATCCAAGGAGAACAAACTGGGAGAAATTCACGAAGCTAATGAACTCCCAGCTGACTCTTAATACAAACTTAGGAACAGCTGTGGAACTTAACGGGGCTGTGGACAATTTAACGGACGATCTTCTTAGATGCCATAAGGAATCCTGTCCGCTTACATACCCTGGGAAAAAATCTCAGCCAGTGTGGTGGAACAAGGAACTTGGTGAGCTCAGAAAAGCGACCAGACGACTGTACAACAGGGCGCATAAATCTAAACTCGACATTGATTGGAACTCCTACAGAGCTAGTTTCAACAAATACAAGAGTGAGATAAAACGCGCAAAGAAAAAGTCTTGGATAAATTTCTGTGAGTCAAAAGAAGGAGTCAACGACGCTGCTAGGTTTCGAAGGCTACTCTCCAAGGATCCGAAGTCCATCGAAAGTATCAAGAAGCAGGATGGAGCGTGGACGGACTCTGGTTCTGAGGCTCTTAATCTCCTAGCTGAGACTCATTTGCCAGGTTGCAAAGATATGGATACCATCGACGGTGAACGTGATGACACTCAGTCTCTTGTGACTCCGGATTTGAATCTCATTGGCAAGGTGACTAACAAAAATAAGATACGATGGACAGTCAATACATTCAAACCGTATAAATCACCAGATGGAATCTTACCGGCGATGCTTCAATTTGCCTCGCCAAGTATATATCTGATCCTTGAGTGGATCTATACGGATCTATGGAACGAGGTAAAGGTTACTTACATTCCCAATGCGGGGAAACCAAGCCACTCTGCACCAAAGGACTATAGACCCATTAGCTTATCATCCTTTCTCCTCAAGACTGTCGAAAGACTGATCGACCTGGAGATTAGGAGTCGTATAGACACCACCTCTCTCAGCAACGCACAACATGCATACATAAATGGCAAGTCTGTAGAATAAGCAATGCACGACGTGGTAGGGTAAATTGAGAGGAATATGGAAAATTCAAACTTTACGCTGGCCGCCTTCCTAGATATAGAGGGAGCCTTTAACAACGTTAAACTTGAATCCATAAACCATTCACTTAAAGGAGTTGGCATACCTGAAACCCTTACATATTGGATAGATAAAATGCTAAACAGCAGAATTATAAATTCAAGTGTGGGGGATACAAAAATCAGAAAAACAGTAACTAGAGGTACACCTCAGGGAGGGGTGCTCCCGCCGTTGCTATGGCTATTGGTAATTAATTATATACTGATGGAACTGGACGGGAAAGGTATCAAGTTGTAGCTTATGTGGACGACGTGGTGATTGATGGTGATTGATATCCGGAAAATTTCCGTTAATCTCGGAGATTATGCAAAGAGCCTTACTGACGCTGTCGCATTGGGCCAGAGCGAATGGCCTTGGTGAAAATCTAACAATGACTGAACTGGTAATGTTCACTAGGAAGCGTAAGCTCGGCGTTTTTGCTCCACCAACACTGGATGGAGTGCAACTTCATCTATCTCCAGAAGCAAATACCTTGGTACAACCCTGGACTGTCAACTACGATGGAATAGGAACGCTGAGGAACGGGCGAAGAGAGATCTGATTGCACTCTATGCATGCAAGAACTCCATTGGGAAAAGCTGGGGGCTAAAATCATCGACTATACACTCGTTGTATAACACTGTGGTAAGGCCCATCCTATCCTATGTTTTTTTTTACAGTAAATGTAGCAAAATAAAGAAAATAAAAGATGTTTTTTTTGTATTTTACGAATGGCTTTTATTTTTTAAAAGTATTTATTAAAGAATTATGCATTTTGAACCTACATAAGGCGCAGATTTCTAAACTAATTTTTTCCTCAACCTACATAAGGCGTGGATTTTTAAAATATTTTTTCTGAGACCTGTATATATACAACTCTGTTGGTCCTTGAAAAAATCATTTTGTTTTAAAATACCCATTAAAAAATATTTATTTAATTTTTCTGAAATGTTGTTCTGCCTTTACACATAAATGTTTATGCTGAATATATATATATATATATATATATTTTACACAATATTTTTTCATAGTTTTTTTTTCTTCTTAAATTAATGGCAATAAACTTGAGTCTACTAAAAGGCTAGCTAGTCTAGCCTTTGATTTCTTATTTTAATTAATCCCCATAGTCATTTTTATTTTATGTGCTGCGACAGTGTAATATTGCAACAACATACATACATATTTACTCCCACACGTCTAGCACAAAATTAATGAAGTGTGGGGCCAATATTTTTATGTTCAACACAAAAATGTTTTTCTTTCGATGACACAAAACAATAAACATGGATATTAGGTATATTTATGTGTATATATCTTTACATATATATATATAAACACACTCTACTTACTATTATAGGCCTTTCCGGGCACATAGCCACTTGGGCCATCAGCCACAATTAGTCTGTAACCATTGTCGCCGCGTGTGCGCCTTCCATGCGGCAAATGTGTTGGAGCACGAGTGCAGCCATTGACATATGTCACACAAATCACAGCGATTAGGCAAAAATAGAATAGTAGTCCGGCTGAACGGTTAGCCAGCAGCATTTTAATTAAACACTAAAAAAATAAAATAGTGGAAGGAAAAAAAATATAGAATATTTTCAACACCATGGAATGAAGAAGAATGATTGATGGGAGATTTTTTTTTTGTATTTCATTTCTAGAACATCACAATATTGAAATTTTTTTGGAATATTTGAAATGATAAGACACTATATTTTTCTTATATATGTATTTTTGTTTTAATTTTTTTATTATTCAACTTATTTTTTCACTACTTATCACTTGTCTGCCAGTTGAGTATTATCACTTTTTCAAAACAAGAAAATTGCAACTTCTTTAGGAATACGATTTATTATACATATATTTTTTTAAATATGCTCTGCAATAATTTTTTAAGCCATCAACCTTTTAAGAGCAACCGTTTGTGTTTGTCGGTTTTCAATTGTGTGTTGTGATAATTGTTTTGATTCGTTTTTATTTTTTTTATTTTATTTCACTTCACTTATTTTTCCTTTTATTTGAAAATTTTCTACCGTACCGTATCCACCAGACAACAGCGAGACCAGAGAAGTTGATTGAAGAACGCACACGAGATGACTGATTCGAAATTCTTTTTGGATTTTTGTGTTTGCATCTCCAACAGCGAAGACAATATTTTTTTTTTATAGTTTTGAGATGGGAAAATATGAAATTCATATCTCTGCAGACACTAAGAGAGAGATGTTCTCAGAGGCGCCACAATAATTGGTAAGAGGGGAATATAGAAGGCAATAAATGGTAGGAGGGGAAGACAGAGTAGAGTGGTGATGTGGGTATGTATTCAAGTTTGTTGTAAAATGTTTTATAAAATTGATTTGAAAATTTTGAATATATTTTTATAAATATTTTTATAATAGATAAAAAAAGGTAAAGAAATTAGTAAAGTTGGACTGAGCCGACTGTATAATAGCCTTCACCATTTTGGGCATTTTCTACATATGTATCCTTACAATTGCATATCAATGTTCCCTCGAAGGACCATACTCATGTCTTTCTGCAACTTATGATCAATTTAATTTCATTCTGGCAGATTTAGAGTCATCTGCTTTCCATGGGACACATCACTTAGCACTCATCATTCTAGACTCAATTCAGTACGCTATACCAAATTTCGTGCAAATCGAAACATATATGGGAAATTACAAAATTCTTTTAAAATTCCATTAAAAAAAAAATTAAAAAATTTTTTGCGAGCACATTTATGGTATATGGTACATAGGTTAAGAAAAATATGCTGATTCGAAATCTGTTCGCGTTCACAAATTCGGATGCTGCGCACAAAAGTTATAGCGGTTTTAAATATTTTAAATATAATTTAAATATAAATTAAATTAATTCCCATTTGTTGTAATTCGCGAATTTAATCACAAATGGATAAACATATTTGTTTTCTTTGCATACTTGTCAAATCAAATTGAAATACGGTATAATAGACGCGAAAAAAATAGAAGCATTAAGATATCGGAAAATAAAATAAATTAATTTTTTAATGAAGACAAAACGTTTATTTGAATTTTCGATTTTTTAGTATGGATGAGGTAATGCGGTTTTGCCTTAATCTTCTAAAATATACGACGCTTTCTTCTGCAAATTCTTGTAGATGATTGTTAAATATCGGTAGATTATAAAAAATATAAAAATGTCTATATACATTTTGCAATTACAATTCATAAAAATTATCAATATTAAAAAGCATGCAATTCGCGTATTCGTGGAAATCAGTTGTTGCGCATGCGGTTTTCGTATAAACCGAATTAATCTCTTCCAACAATTATGAATTTTTCGATGTTTCATTTCGCGGCCAAAGTGTGCCGCTCGATGCACTTTACTATGCAGAAACCGTAAAAATGGCTATAAATGACGCAATGTGTATAAGATTTTTATGCGCATCAGATTTCAGTAATCTCCAATGAAAATACGCAAAAGTACATCTATTTTAATAGAATTGGTTAAGCACCGCGGATGTGCCACCACAATCAATTTTGGATTAAATACGCATATTATTCGCGTATCAATGTATTTATGACCTATTTTCACACAGATTCGCGAATATGATTATGCAAGCATGAATGTAGGTAAAATCAATTCGAAGAAAAAAGCGATTATATACGCGAATTTGTCAAAATAAGTTTTTGCAGTTTTTCCTACATTCAAAGTACCTATATCCGCCGTTTTATTGGGCGGAATTGAACATGGCTGGGCTCATTGGATTCGGCACATAAAAAAACTAAAATCACGCGGGGTTCAACTGCATTTAAGTGGCCTTTTTAAATTTAGACTCAAAAAATAGGTTTTTTATAAAAATTTACGCACCCAATTTTCGTCTTTGGAATCCAATTCCAAAGAACCTACAGTGGGCACATTCATGAGATATACACTAAACAAAGCAAAATAACGAGTTCTACAATCCTATAATCAGTTTAGCGTATTATCTGGATGCGCGTCCTGATTATAAGAAATGTTCAAAAAACACCGAAAATCCGGCTTCAAAATCTCAGCATCCGTTTTTGGTGGATGCAGTGATTATATCGAAAAATCATACATTAGAACCATATTGTCCATGGGGTATTTTGCAACTTAGTCACTGATCACATGTTCGTGCGTTGTGTATTTTAGCCACAAATCAGGAAAGAACACAAAAAAACTCGTTGGCTTCAACATATTTTCACCCATTTTTTTACATTACCACAATCACAGCTTCCACCCAACATATTAATTATTACCAATATTTTCAGATTTTGACAAGAACACTTCATTTTATAGAAATGAATTAAAATAATATGCAATATGTTCATATTTCGCGAGTTATAATCTTGCAAACCTCAGCTTCAAGGAATTTAAAAGATTTTTGTAATTTCCCATATATGGACTTTGGTGCACCATTTATCTTAAATCGGACGAAAATATATATGGGAGCTATATCAAAATCTGAACCGATTTTCACGAAACTTAGCACACATCATTCCCGGCTTCATTCAGTATGCTGTGCCAAATTTCGTGCAAATCGAAAGATATTTTGGGACTTTGGTACACATTTTACATTAAATCAGAACAAACTCTATATGGGAGCTATATATAAATCTGAACCGATTTTCACGAAACTTAGCACACCTCGTTCTGTGCCAAATTTCTTGCATATCGAAGAATATATAGTGTCTTTGGTTCATCAATGACATTAAATCGGACGAAATTATATATGGTAGCTATATCTAAATTTGAACCGATTTTCACGAAACTTAGCACTTTTTTAAAAAAGTCGAAAGATATTTAGGGACTTTGGAGCACCATTTACATTAAATCGGACGAAAAAATATATGAGAGCTATATCTAAATCTGAACCAATTTTCACGAAACATAGCACACATCATTCTAGGCTTTACTTAGTACGCTGTGCCAAATTTCGTGCAAATCGAAAGATATTCAGCGACTTTGCTCCACCATTTACATAAAATCGAACGAAAATATATATGGGAGCTATATCTAAATCTGAACCGATTTTGACGAAACTTAGCACGCACTAATCTATACCTAATTCAGTACTCTGTGCCGAATTTCGGGCAAATTTGGTACACCATTTACCTTAAATCGGACGAAAATATATATGAGAGCTATATCTAAATCTCAATCGATTTTACCCTATTTCAATAGGGTTCGTCCATGGACCAAATAAATGACCTGAGCCAAATTTCATCCAATTCGAATCATAAATGCGAACTGTACTTTGTTAACAAAAATACATGGACGGACGGACGGACATACGTAAATCGACTCAGAAAGTGATTCTATGCATATTCATAAAAGGAACCATGGGTCTATCTCGATTCCTTTTGCCTGTTACAAACATATGGACAAAGACATAAGGCGTGGTTTTTAAAATAATTTTTTTTTTCAACCTACATAAGGCGTGGATTTTTAAAATAATTTTTTTTTCTCAACCTACATAAGGCGTGGATTTTTAAAATAATTTTTTTTCAACCTACATAAGGCGTGGATTTTTAAAATAACTTTTTTCAAACTTCATAAGGCGGGGATTTTTAAAATAATTTTTTTTTCAACCTACATAAGGCGTGGATTTTTAAAATAATTTTTTTTTCAACCTACATAAGGCGTGGATTTTTAAAATAATTTTTTTTTCAACCTACATAAGGCGTGGATTTTTAAAATAATTTTTTTTTCAACCTACATAAGGCGTGGATTTTTAAAATAATTTTTTTTTTCAACCTACATAAGGCGTGGATTTTTAAAATAATTTTTTCTGAGATCTATATAAGGCGTGGATGCTACGTCTCTGACATTGAAACGAGATTATAAAAAGCTAGCTTAAAGAGAAAATAGGGTTTCTATTCAATTTTTAGCAATTTTATTAAAAAAGGCTGCTGATGAAGGTCAAAACGAGAAAAAAATACTGAAATGATAAAGCAAGAAATTAAAAAAATATTAGATTAGAATTTAAAAATAAAATATATGCGGAAACAAAATTATCTCCATGCAGAAAAATGTCTCGGAGATGGAAGAGGAAATTAGACCAAATATTCTGTTGGAAAAAAATACTAAAAAAAATTATAGAACAATTTGTACCCTATAAATAATATTAATAATAATTATTATTTTTTGTCGAAAAAAATCAATACACTAGATTTAAAAAATTTTTAACCCAATATTATTTTGCTAATTTGTAATAGCAACAATGTTTTTTTATAGTTTTTTTTTACTGTTGATGATAGTCAATTGAATTATTATGATTATTTTCAATTGTTTTGTTGATGATGTCTGTCTGTAATTGAAATAATCAGAAAAATTCAATTTGCCTTCGATTCAATTCGATTCGATCTTTTCTATACACAGAAGAAGAAACGAAAGAATAAGATTGTTGTGCCTAGCGTAAGTGACAGCTAGATCGCGAAAGTGACCTTAGAGTTCAATTTATAAACAGCAAAGAGAATACAAGTCGCTGATAAAGAAAACAAATTGAAATAATATGGAAATAAAACAAAAAACGAATTATATAAAATTAGGTTAAAAAAAATTTGAATTGAATATTAAAAATTGCATGGAAATAAAATACATTTAATAAATCATAAAAAATGGAAATTATTTTAAAAATCCACGCCTTACGTAGGTTGAGGAACAAATTATTTTAAAAATTCCACCTTGTGCAGGTCTCAGAAAAAAATTATTTGAATTTAGTTGATCGCTTCAGTTCGACCTAATGCCTACCCACCTTTACCCAGTATTTCAATTAAAGTATTAAAAAGTTATTTTTTCTGTTATTATTTTATTTATTAAAACATTTACATTTTTTTATTTAAAATATTTGTTTTGTTTGTTCATCTATTTATTTTCAATATATTTTTTTTATTATTTATTTTAAATGTGTATACAATTTATTTTCAATAAATGTGTGTGTGTATTTTCCGCAGCTCTCTTCTCATCTAACTTAGTAATGGTTTTAGCCTAAATAATAATAATATCATATATAAATAAAGGGCAATTAAAAAATAAAAACTTATAATAATCAGAAAATATATATGAAATCTTTATTTTAATCGATATTACAGTCCATCCATATAATTTAATGTTTGGAGGATTATTTCATGCAAATCTTGACCTTAATTGCCTATCAAATGTTCAATCCAATTTTGGCATATTCATTTCAACATTTCGAAATTTTTTCCAATGTGACAATTGAAGATGAGCTGGTGATTTATTTCAAATTACAAAAAATAAAATTTTACAAACATCTCTAATCCGAACCAATTTCCTTTCGAATATATTACGATATATTTCGAAAAAAAACCCTAACTGTCCCTAATATATATTTTCTATTAAAAATTATTTTGGATTTTTTCGATTCTTAATGAATTTGGCTTGCTTGTTTTGTGTTCTGTTCTTCAACAGTATGTAAGGTTATATCGCGAATTTGATATTTTTGATTTTAGCTTAAAAAATAGCTTTAATGATGTTGTTAATAATTTTTTTGTTGTTCTTGTTGTTTTACTTAGTGATAGAATGATACATAATAATAGAATACTTGTATGCATGCTAAATATCATTTGTTATTTAGGAATCATAGTTATATATATAATTGTGAAATAAATAATACCTATATTTTCTTTTAGTTTTATAATAATTATAATTTTTATTAATTAATAAAATTAATATATGAAAATAATAATAATAAATATCACCCCATTGTTTTTTTAATAACGCAATTAAATCACAATAAAAACAATAAAAATTAAAAAGAATATTATTCCAAAAATATATATTATAATAGATATTTTTTTGAAAAAAAATAATATTTTAATTTTTTGTATTATTTTTTATTTTTAAATTTAAAGAATAGTTAAAAAATTATAATTACAGTTAAAAAATAATTATAATTTGTGAAAAAAATTAACTATGATTTAAATTTAAAATACAAAAATAATAACATTGAACATTGTCTGTATGCGTGTATATTTTACGAAAATTATTTAAACACAATATAAATAAGTAATAATTATACATAATTTGTAAAGTATATTAAATAATTTACATGAAAAAAAATATATTTTTATTTTAAATAATTCGAATTAAAAAATAAATAAAGCATTGAAAAATAAAACATATGTTTCACCAATTTTATATCAACTATAAATATTGTATTTTCAATATTTTTTTAATACACAATTTTAATTTTACATTTAAAAAACATATATATAATAAAAAATACTTTCACATAAAAATAATAACAAAAAAATATAAAAAATAAATTAAAAAATATATATATTCTGAATAAAAACATATATTTGCCTAAGCTCTGCAACTAAGCATGATGACTATAGCTGATTTTGGCAATCTTCAATTTATTCGGTGATCTTGTTTTCAAAAATTAATTCCATTTTTTGTGTGAGTTTTCTTTTTCTTAATAAAAAAATAATGTAATGAGAAACTGAAAAAATGATTTAATACTAAAAGGTTAATATCGGCGTTTCACGGTGATCCAACAAATCTGAAAAGAGAAGAGAGAGAGGTGAAAATTAAAAAAATATTAATTTTTTAGGGTAGATATACCCTGTGGATTTTTTAAAGAATGTCTTTTGAGGGTCATATCTAAGGCGTGGATTTTTTAAAGAATATCTTTTGAGGGTCATATCTAAGGCGTGGATTTTTTAAAGAATATTTTTTGGGGTCATATCTAAGGCATGGATTTTTTATACCCTTCACCACACTGTGGTCCAGGGTAATATGTCTTTGTGCATATTCCTTTTGAGAATATGCATAGAATCACTTTCTGAATCGATTTATGCATGTCCGTCTGTAGATTTTACAATTACAAACAAAGTACAGGTCGCATTTATGATCCGAATTGGATGGAATTTGGCACAGCTCACTTATTCGACCCAAGGACGAACCCTATTGAAATTGGGAAAAATCGGTCCAGATTTAGATATAGCTCCCATATATATTTTTGTCCGATTTAATGAAAATGGTGTACCAAAGTCCCTTTATATCCTTCGATTTGCACGAAATTCGGCATAGCGTACTGAATTATGTCTAGAATGATGTGTGTTAAGTTTCCCAAAAATCGGTCCATATATATATATATGTATATATTTTCGTCCGATTTAAGGTAAATGGTGCCTCAAGGTTCCTATATATCTTTCGATTTGAACGAAATTTGGCACAGCGTACTGAATTAGGTCTAGAATGATGTGTCTTTAATTTCGTGAAAATCGGTTTAAATTTAGATATTGCTCCCAATATATATTTTCGTCCGATTTTATGTAACTGGTGCCTCAAGGTCCCTATATATCTTTCGATTTGAACGAAATTTGGCACAACGTACTGAATTAGGTCTAGAATGATGTGTCTTTAATTTCGTGAAAATCGGTTTAAATGTAGATATAGCTCCCATATATATATATATTCGTCTGATTTTAGGTAAATAGTGCACCAAAGTCCCTATATATGCTTCGATGTGCACGAAATTTGGCATAGTGTGCTAAATTATGTCTAGAATGATGTGTGTTGAGTTTCCTGAAAATCGGTCCAGATTTAGATATAGCTCCCATATATATTTTTGTCCGATTTAATGTAAATGGTGTACCAAAGTCCCTATATATCATTCGATTTGCACGAAATTTGGCACAGCGTATTGAATTGAGTATAGATAGATAGGTGGTAGGTTTCGTGAAAGTCGGTTCAGATTTATTTATAGCTCCCATATATAGTTTCGTCCGATTGGCATAGCGTGCTGATTTGGGTTTAGAATGGCGTGTGTTAAGTTTTCTTGAAATCGGTTCAGATTTGGATATAGCTCCCATGTATAATCCCGTCGGATTTCAAGTAGATGGTGCACTGAAATTTCTGCGTTTTTCCGATTGTTACGAAATCTAGTACACCTTAAAGATTTGGGACTAGAATGTCGTGTGTCAAGTTTGAGGTAAATCGCTTCAGATTTAGATATAGCTCCCATATTTAAATTCGTCGGATTTCAGGTAAATGACGAACCAAAGACCATATATTTGTCTGATTGTTAGTAAATTTAGTATAGGTTAGCGAATTGGGACTAGAGTGACCTGTGCCAAATTTGATGTAAATCGCTTCAGATTTGGATATAGCTCCCATATATAATTTCGTCGGATTTCAGGTAAATGGAGCTCTGAAGTATCTGCGTTTCTTCGATTGTTACCAAATTTGTCATAGGATACCGAATTGGGACTAGAATGACATGTGCCAAGTTTGATGTAAATCGCTTCAGATTTGGATATAGTTCCCACACACACAATTTCTTCGAAATTCATTAAAATGGTGCCCCATTGTGCCCCAAATATTTCCGATTGACCCGACTTTTTTATAGGGTATCAAATGGTGCTAAATTTGAATTAAATCGCTTCGATTTGTATATAGCTCCCATATATAATTTTGTCAGATTTCAAGACCCAAACCTATGGCCTTGTTTGTCTGATTGTCACAAAATTTTGTATGGTCTATTAACACGTTGACGGACAGTTGCGTCTATAGCAGTCAACTTCAAGTTCACTATGTGACATGACGGCTATAGCAGCACAAATGTGCATTTACCAGCGTACAAGTAGAAGCCTAGTGTCATGTTTTCGAATTTCACTTGTTTCTACTGTCCGTCAACGTGTTAAATTAAGTCTAAAATCATGTTTGATTTTATTCGCTTCAAATTTAGATATAGCCCCTCTATAGAATTTCTTCCGATTTCATAGAAATTGGTTAAAAAAATCCGCAAATTTTATTTCGATTGGAGACGAAATTTTGCCTAGAGCACCAAATTGAGTCTATAATGCATGTTAAGCCATGTTTGCTTTGAGTCGGTGCAGTCTTCAGGGGGTATATAGAAGAGATTAATTACTATATAGAAAATGTTTATATCGATTCTGTCCTCACCTTTGGCAATACTCCACCAGGGCAGTGTCACATATGTAAGGAATGCATTTAGCGGAGTCGATTGTTGGCGTCGATTTTCCTTCCAAAAATGAAAGGATTGTGCAAAGCCGCGACTGGCCCACAGCGGATTGTAAGCACCATCATCAAGTTCTGAAATAGAGAAAAACAAAATAAAAAAGTTAAAAATAAATTCAAAATCAAAATAAAAATTAAATTCAATTTTGTTTTTCAATTCCCTTAACTAAAACATAACCTAAAAATGTTTTTTCTTGTTTCACCTTGTAAAGCCTTTTTCGATAGATCACACCAATAATAGATGTTGGTGCCATCGGGGGTGCGACGTTTGGGCACCAGCGTAAGGGCTCGATTGTAGAATGCCTGCATTGCAGCGGTACGTTTGGTACGCGGCAAGGTGGCCGACATTTGTCCCATATCCACAATATTGGCACTATTTAACATGGGCGGTGATAGCGGTGAGGTATTTAAAGATGCTGAGGCTGAATTGAGATTGCCATTGCAATCGTTCAAAGAGGATGGACGTTTGGAGGGGCTGCTGCTGTCGTCATTATTGTGTATGGTGGCATTCGACGAATTGGACGATGAGTTGTTGTCGATAATATTGACATTTATTTCTTGTTGTTGTTGGTCTTTTGGATCCTTGGAATCGTCTTCATCGCTGGTGCTGGTGGTTTGAGTTTGTAATGGATGGCTGTCTGCGGTTACAGGTACACGAACACATTTTTCAAATTTATAAGGTTTCGTGGCATCTTCATCTATGGTTCCTCCTGGTAAATTTGGCTGCGGAGATACTGACAGGGGTGATGTGCTTTGCTCCACCACGGGTAATTCTTCTTTGCCACGAACCGTTATCAAAGAATCGGTTTCGGTTAGAATTATTATTTTACCACCACCTCCGCCACCATCAGAGGCTTGGGAAATGTCACCACCATTTAATGAGATGGCATCATCGGCAATTTCATATTCTTGGCAGGAGCCAGTGGAATCTGCCGTGGTGGCCATGGTGTTGTTTGTGGCTTCAGTTTTGAGATCATTTGCCTTGGGGCTTTCCCCTTTATTGCCATTGGAAATGGTTTCCTTTTTCTTAGAATTTCCCGATTTTGTTTTATCATTGACTGAGCTATTGGTTGAGGAGATGGAGGTGGATGATGAACGATTGCCGCGTAATTTTTTGGGTGATACCTTGGCTAAAAGGCTGCTGGTTTTCGAAACCTTTTCTTTGCCACGTTCCTTGGGCGGGGAGTCCTTATCTTTTTCTTTTTCTTTCTCCTTCTCCTTGGTTTTGGTCTTGGCATCTTTTTTATTGCTTGTGGAGATTTCAGGTTTTTTCATTTTCCTATCGGCAGCCGTTAGGGAGGACGAACGTGTCACACTGCTTACCAAGGGCTTGCGTTCATTAAATTTCAGGCTACCTCTTTTGGTAACCACCAATTCACTTTCCACACTGAGTATAGTTTTGGGTTTGGCCTTAAATTTCCTATCGGGCATTTTATTGAGACAGGCCGGTGTCTCATTGGCAATATCACAGGTTGGACAATAGACCTGAGACATTTGTGGGGTATTTTTGTCGGAATTACCACCCCAACGTTTTTTACATTTCTTGCCGGATTTAAAACAATTGCCACCACAACCAGTGGTCTTGCCATTATTGGAGCCAGGTGAGGGTAGGGTAATATCCACTGCCTCCACAGCATCTTGTATGGGATCATTATTGGGTGGTGACACAATGCTAAGCGACATAACATCCCCACCACCCTCCTTTTTGCCATCCTCTGTTGCCGTTTGGGGTTCATTTAATAATGGTTCCGTTTCATTTGGTTCTCTATCAGCCTTTGTTGTGGTTGCCTCCCCCATCGTTGTTTTGTGGTTTTTAGTCTCTTCTAATTCTTTTTGTTTCATTTGATATTCTTCACACTTGGGATTTGTATGAAGTTTTGCCTCAGATGCCGAGAAAGCAGGATGGTCATCTACAAAGATATTTGATATCGAATCATTTGTAGTGTTTTTGAATTTGATTTTTTTGCACACATTCATCTTTCAGTTTTTTATTTTATTTTTTCAAAATTTCTAAATAAATATATAAATAAAAAATAAATTTAAGAAAATAAATAAAAATTAAATAATAAATAAATACAAAATTAAAAAAATATATTGCAAATAATTATTAAAAAAATTATGTGAAATAATGAGAGCGAGAGAGAGGGAGAGAGCTTTATGATATGCTTCGATTTCTTTATGTGTGGTACTGTGTTGTAATAATTGCATGTGGCATTGAAAAATTAGAGGGAGAGAGCTAGGTAGGAAGAAGCAGGACAGGACAAGAGAAAAGAGAGTGAGGATTTTTAGGGACAGGGGAGTAGGGAGTGTGAGGAGTTTTTGGTTTATAATATTTGCAAATTCTATTTTAAATGTACTTTTTTTGGAAGCTACTGCAGATATGACATGCATTGAATACTTAGAAAGGATATATGTTCGGAACCTATCTAAAAGTCCTAAAATACAGAATAATAGGGAATATCGTTATATGGGGGCTATACTAAAAAGTGGGCCGATAGCATGGTATGGACATTTGCTACCCTATTGGAACTCAAAGTACCAAATTACAGCCAATTCGGTTCAAAAACATGGTCAAAAATCCCCAAAATACAGTATATTGGGAATTACCGTTATATGGTGGCTATGCTAAAAAGTGGACCTACATCGATAATTTTTGGTTGGGAGATTTGCTATTCAATAGGAACACAAAATATCAAATTACAGCTAATTCGGCTCAAAAAAAGTGTCAAAAATACCGAATAAGAGGGGTTTGCTGTATGGGGGCTATTCTAAAAAGTGGACCGATATCGACAATTTTTGGTTGGGAGATTTGCTACTCTATGGGAACTCAATGTATCAAATTACAGCCAATTCGGTTCAAAAAACGAGTCAAAATCCCCCAATACCGAATATTGGGGAGTACCGTTGTATGGGGGCTATTGAAAAAATTAGACCGATATCTATTATTTTTGGTAGGTAGATTTGTTACACAATGAGAACAGGAAATACCAAATTACAGTCAATTCTGTTAAAAAAAAAACGTGGCAAAAATATCGAATAATGGTGGTACCGTTATGTGGTGGATATGCCAAAAATTGGACCGATATCAATCATTTTTGGTAGGGAGATTTGCTACCTAATGAGAACACAAAATGCCAAATTACAGATAATTCGATTAAAAAACATGGCCAAAATCCCCAAAATACCGATTAAAGCGAAGTACCGTTATATGGAAGCTATGCCAAAAATTAGACCGATATCGATCATTTTTAGTAGGGAGATTTGTTACCTACTGAGAACACGAAACACCATTCGGATAAAAAACAAGGCCAAAATCTCCAAAATATCGAATATAGAGGGGTACCGTTGTAAAAAAATGGACCAATATCGATAATTTTTGGTAGGGTTATTTGCTACCCAATGAGAACACAAAATATCAAATTAGAGCCGATTCGGTTCAAATAACATGTCAAAAATCCCCAAAATACCGAATATTGAGGAGTACCGTTACATGGGAGCTATCCTAAAAATCAGACCGATATCGATAATTTTTGGTAGGAAAATTTACTACCCAATGAGAACACAAAATATCAAATTAGAGCCGATTCGGTTCAAATAACATGTCAAAAATCCCCAAAATACCGAATATTGAGGAGTACCGTTACATGGGAGCTATCCTAAAAATCTGACCGATATCGATCATTTTTGGTAGGAAAATTTACTACCCTATGAGAACACAAAATACCAAATTACAGCTAATTCAGTTAACAAATTTGCCAAAAATCCCCAAAATACCGAATAATGAGGGGTACCGTTATATGGGGGCTATGCTAAAAATTTAACCGATATCAATAATTTTTGGTAGGAAAATTTACAACCCAACGATATCACAAAATACCAAATTATAGCCAATGCGATTAATAAATTTGCCCAAACTCTTTAAAATATCGCATAATGTGGTGTGGTTATATGGGGCTACCCCTTCAGCTCGTCTATAAATACTCCCTTCAGCTGAACTATAAGGACTGTCTTTTGTTCCTTCATAAAGACTCCCTTCAGCTCGTCTATAAAGACTCCCTTTCAGCTCGTCTATAAAGACTCTCTTTCAGCTCGTCTATAAAGACTCCCTTTCAGCTCGTCTATAAAGACTCCCTTGCAGCTCGTCTATAAAGACTCCCTTGCAGCTCGTCTATAAAGACTCCCTTCAGCTCGTCTATAAAGACTCCCTTGCAGCTCGTCTATATAAATACTCCCTTCAGCTCGTCTATAAAGACTCCCTTTCAGCTCGTCTTTAAAGACTCCCTTTCAGCTCGTCTATAAAGACTCCCTTTCAGCTCGTCTATAAAGACTCCCTTTCAGCTCGTCTATAAAGACTCCCTTTCAGCTCGTCTATAAAGACTCCCTTTCAGCTCGTCTATAAAGACTCCCTTTCAGCTCGTCCATAAAGACTCCCTTTCAGCTCGTCCATAAAGACTCTCTTTCAGCTCGTCTATAAAGACTCCCTTTCAGCTCGTCTATAAAGACTCCCTTTCAGCTCCTCTATAAAGACTCCCTTGCAGCTCGTCTATAAAGACTCCCTTGCAGCTCGTCTATAAAGACTCCCTTGCAGCTCGTCTAAAAAGACTCCCTTGCAGCTCGTCTATAAAGACTCTCTTCAGCTCGTCTATAAAGACTCCCTTCAGCTCGTCTATAAAGACTCCCTTCAGCTCGTCTATAAAGACTCCCTTCAGCTCGTCTATAAAGACTCCCTTCAGCTCGTCTATAAAGACTCCCTTCAGCTCGTCTATAAATACTATCTGCAGCTCGTCTATGAACACTTCCTCTAGCTCGTCTGTATAAAGACACCCTTCCTTTTAGATCGCATAGTACTTCCTTCCACTATTGGGAGCGAATTTGATTAGGAAAATATTGAATTATAGAGGATTTTGTGTATCTCTGTATTAGCTAGCCGTGTGTATGTGTGTGAGTTTTCTTTTTTTGTGGGTGGAATGCATACTAAATCACACCAACAAATTTACGTACACATCAAAAATAAGTTTTTTTTTGAATTCTTACATATTTGTTTTGAAACAAAATTATAATAGCAGCTTTTTTGTATATATAGACAATATTATTATTTGTTTTTCTTATAAAGATATTATTTAAAAAATGTCTTTATTTAAGAACAACTTAGACTACCAAGAAAAAAATATACAAAAATAATTTTTTTATTATAAAAACAAAAATTAAAAAAATAGTCATTTGCATTTCAGCTAAAATAACAAAAAATAATATATAAAAATTAAAAAAAATGTATCTTTTTTATATATATAAATGTAAGGGGTGTAAGGGAAATCAAAACCAAAATTGAGAAAAAAGTAAAAGAAAAAGAAGTACAGAAGTTTGCAATACAATCTCTAAATACTTCTTTTTGTTGTTGTTAGAGATGTGTTTTTTTCATTTCATTTTCATTACAGATAAAGATGAATCCTGCTTTCTCGGCACAAAAAAATTATCTATAGAATAGATTGTTTTGAGGTTTGGTTTTTTTTGTTTTTCATTTTTTTCGGAAGGGATTTAGTTGCATTTACAAAAAAAATACGATTTTTTTATAAAGTTTGCATTACGAAATTGTTAGAAGAAAAATAATTCAAATAAATCTACGGGGTTTCAAAGTGTTGAATATTTTTCTTTTTTTTAATATAGTACAAGTGGTGTTTTGTTTTTGGTGTGGTATTTTTTGTTTGGTTATTTTCATTTTTTTTGTTATACATTTTAGGACAGGAATAAATTTAAAATAATTCAAAAAAGAAACAAATATTTGAAAATATACAATAAAACAAAAAAGAAAACATACAACGACAACAACAAACTTTACAAAAGCAGCAACAGCAAGTTTGAAAAGATAAATAATTATTTTTTAAATATACAAGCTCAATATTTTTTTAGATCGTGAAGAAGAAATGAAAACAATGATAAAGATATTTGAAAATTATTAAAAAAATAAATAAACATTTAATTTGAAAGTGAAACTGTATGATGAATGTGATGTGAATAAAATTGAATAATGTAATAAGTATTTTTTTATAAGTAAATATTTTACAATATTAATAGAGAGCGTGCTAGTTTGATAAAATATGCTTAAAAGGTTTGAATTGATTTTGAAATTATTTTTTACTTGGTGTACTAAAGGCTTCGTTCATAAATTAGCTGAAGGCGAGCTGAGGGCAGTCTTTATAGACGTGCTGAAGGCAGTCTTTATACCGCGAGCTGAAAGCAGTCTTTATAGACGAGCTGAAGGGAGTCTTTATAGGCGAGCTGCAAGGGAGTCTTTATAGGCGAGCTGCAAGGGAGTCTTTATAGACGAGCTGCAAGGGAGACTTTATAGGCGAGCTGCTAGGGAGTCTTTATAGACGAGCTGCAAGGGAGTCTTTATAGACGAACTGCAAGGGAGTCTTTATAGACGAACTGCAAGGGAGTCTTTATAGGCGAGCTGAAGGGAGTCTTTATAGGCGAGCTTAAAGGGAGTCTTTATAGACGAGCTGAAGGCAGTCTTTATAGATGAGCTGAAGACAGTCTTTATAGACGAGCTGAAGGCAGTCTTTATAGACGAGCTGAAGACAATCTTTATAGATCTTTATGAAGGGAGTATTTATATGAAGGAAGTCTTTATAGACGAGAAGGGTGGGAGGCTTTATAGGGGAATAAAGTAACTCTTTATAGGCGAGCTGAAGGGAGTCTTTATAGACGAGTTTAAGGTAGTCTTTATAGACGAGTTTAAGGGAGTCTTTATAGACGAGCTGAAGGGAGTCTTTATAGACGTGCTGAAGGAGATCTATATAGACGAGATGAAGGGAGACTGGAGGAAGACTTCTAGATGACCTGAAATGGAGGAACAAAAGGAAGTCTATAGACAAACTGAATGGGTGTCTTTATGGACGGGCTGAAGAAGGTCTTTATAGACGGACTGAAGGAAATCTTTATAAACGAGCTGAAAGACAGTCTTTATAGACGGGCTGAAGGGAGTCTTTATAGACTGAAAGGAGACTGGGGGAAGATTTCTAGATGAGCTGAAGTAGGTCTTTATGGTGGAAAAAAGGAAGTAGTCTTTACAGACGAGCTGTAAGGAGGCTTTTAGTCGTTCTAGGGAAGTCTTTATAGACGAGCTGGATGGAGTCTTTATAGACGAATTAAAGGAAGTTTTTCAAGGCAGGATAAGAAATTCTTTGTAGAGAAGCTAAAGGGAGTCTTTATAGACGAGCTGCAAGGGAGTTTATATAGATTAGCAGGTAGGAAACTTTATAGACCAGCTTGAAGGAGTTTTTTTTATAGATGAATAAAATTCATGGAGTCTTTGAAGACGGAGACCTTATAACACCAAGTATATATTTAGAATAATATATGATATTATGTACGTATGTATGTGTGATGGTTTGAAATTTGTAAAATATGATTTTGTATAAAAAAGCTTTGATTATAAATTTTACAAATTTTCGAAATAAATTTGATTATGTTTTAGAATAGTATGAAATAAAAAATAATTATGCAAAATATTATCATTATCAATATATATAAAATATTAATAATAATAAAAAAACAAAACAAAAAAATATTTATATAAAGCATATTGAGATTTGAAAAAGAAATACATGTTAAATAATTAAAAGAAATATATGATCACAATATTTACCATCTCTTAAATCGCCAGCCTCAATTTCAGATACTTCATTGGCCAGCGAATCCAGGCCTTCATTTTCCGATCTCGCCTTAGAACCAGCTGTACCAGCAGCTGATTCAGATGCAGTTTTTGTGCGCCATGCATAGCGTGAAAAATTATTTAAATTAGCACTGGGATCACTGAGGCGTCGCTGATGACGATATGTGCAATAGTCATCGTTTTCCTCCTCCCATTCATCCCACATGTCGGTGGCACAGAAACTAAATAATAAAAAAAAATATAAATAACTTATTAACTTCTATAAATAAAAACAATAATTTTTGCCACTAACCCTGGTTCACTGGTTGGTGTCTCCACACCAGAGCCTTTTGGCTTGGTTACAGCCATTTCTGCATGGCCCTTGCCCTGGGGTCCTTTCATGCGTACAAATTCACAGCGTGTCTGTACGCCGGCACCACTGCTAAATAAACCAAATGACATGCGTTGGGCTACTTTGGAACTTAGACTGGATTGCTGTAATATAGGATATGGGGAGAAGAAACCCTTTGAGTATCTAAATTTATATAGAAAAAATCGTAATGTTCTTACCCTTGAATCATAAACTTTTTTCAAAGCATCATAACGTATGGAACCCAAAAATATAACACCTTGGACAGCACCATCTTTATCATTGGCCACCAATTCCACACAGACCATTTCACCGTCTCTGACCAAGATATCGCTGAAGACCTAAAAAAATGGAAAAAGTAATAGAAAATTATACGAGCCGAAGGACCAACAAGGTGGAGGAAATCTTTATAGAAGAGCTGAAGGCAGTTTCTATAGACAAACTGAAGAGAGTCTTTATATAGGAACTGAAGGGTTTCTTTATGGACGAGCTGGAAGAAGTTTTTTTGGAGGAAGGGAATCTATATAGACGAGCTGAAGTTAGTCTTTATAGACGATCTGAAGGGAATTCTTAATGGATTAGTTAAAAGAGGACTCCAGATACGAACAGACATCTAGATCCTTCACTCTAGTTATTGTTATCGGTGATAGGCTGTGTTTCATTTCCTTACCTCATCAAAATTATCCACCATAAAACAAATATGAGGATATGTGATTTCTTCACCCTCCCCTTTGGTGTCCATTTTTCGGCGACTCGGTGAGGCATATACCCGCTGAGAATGTCTACGCAGCACCTGCAATTCTTTGGGTGAGGTTCGGGTGCATATCGCCAATGTTAAAGTATAATCAAATTGATGTATTATCATATTTAGGTAGACAGTTTCTTCCCAATCGACATCGGGATCACCGATGGGTAATTTACGTGAATCCTTACGGAAAACATCGACCTCAGTCTGAAAGAAAAATTCACAAAATATTTTATTAAACAATTTTTAACTTAAAAATCGATTTCGAATTTCTACTAACCTCATATTTTGGCATATGTCGGGAAGAGCTTTTAACATGTTTCTTACGTACGAAAAATAATAGATCATCTGAATCGATACTGTGCACTGGTTCCGATTGGAATAGGAAATGACGTACAAATAAATCCGTCCAATAGGTGGTACCTTGTAGAACAACAAAACCGCTGTCTGTAAAGAAAAAGAAAATAGGATTAAAGTTGTTATTGATGTTTAAAAAAATAAATCCGAATTGACGGGAGAAGGAAGGGTATGTTAATTTTTTTCTATAGAAAAAAATCGGAACTGAGGGTCTGTGAATTTGTTTCTATAGGAAACAAATCTGACCTGAGGGTCAGTGATTTTTTTGTATAGGAAAGAAATCCGACCTGAGGGTCTATGAATTTTTTCCTATAGAAAAAAGTACGACTTGAGGGTAAAAAATCCGATCTGATTGTCTGAAATCCGACCGCAGGGTCTGTGATTTTTTTTTTCTAAATCCGACCTGAGGGTCTGTGAATTTTTTTCTATAGAAAAACAATTCGACCAGATTGTTTGTAATTTTTTCTATAGAAAAAATCCGACATTAGGTTCTGTGAATTTTTTTCTATAGAAAAAAAATCCGACTTAAGGGTCTGTGATTTTTTTCTATAGGAAAAAAATCCGAACTGTGGTTCGATGAATTTTTTTCTATAGAAAAAAATCCGAACTGAGGATTGATGATTTTTCTTCTATGGAAAAAAATCATCCTGGGCGTCTTTAAATTTTTTCTATAGGAAAAAATCCGACTTGAGGGTCTGTGAATTTTTTTCTATAGACAAAATCCGACTTGAGGAAAATTCAGACACTGGTTCTTTACATTTGTATCTGCTGTAATGCGTTCTATTGTGTTTATTGTGAAATTCATCATTGAAGTTATTTTTTTTTTTGTTAATAAAATTATCCACTAGAAATGACTCATAATAATAACAACAACAACAAAAATCACTTCACTAGTGGTGACATTTATCATTTCGAAATATTTGCAATTTATAATTAGACTTCGAAAAACAACTATAAGGACCACTTAAACCACTAATAGAAAGACGACCCCCCAACATCCCCCCAACGAACCCCCCAAAAAAGAAAGTTTACGAATTCGGTTATAACAACAAAACCCAAGAGATCAAAACAAAATTCGTAATAAAAAGCCGCTGCAAAAAATGGAAGTAACAACCCTCTTGAGTAAAAAGAGAGAAAGTTAAAAAGGATGGTTGGAACCTTGAAATGAGGGTTGAATGGACGGACAACAAAACAAAGGAACTTATGGTGAAAGGAAAACCAACAAAAGTGGGTGGATATTTATAAAGAACGAAAATAAACTGATGGACAAGAATTGCAACTAATCGATAAATGATGGAAAAAATTTTTTGAAAGGGTTTTTTTTCTTCTGCAAGAGAATTTAAAAAATGAATCATTTTTTAAAGTAATTTTTACAACAAATATACCATACATACCATCCTTGAGCAATTGTCTCATTTCTTTGTTCCTTTGGAAATTAATATCCTCCAGCAATTGTTGTAAGGGTGTCTGGGGCCGGAGCAATGCTCCAGCTGCACTGGCCAAAGACATGGTGTTGAAGTAGTTGATGTTGTAAGCTAGGTTTCAGATTGCAATCCAAAGAAGCCTGTTCCAGGGGACAATTTGGGTATGTCGCCTTGACGGAACCAGTTGGTTGTGAAGCAGGGAGTATTCAAAATGGCTATGCTGCAAATATTTTATTGAGTTTCCATGAAAATTGGGGTCACCACATTGTTACTGGTACTGTTTTGTTGTTGCTTTCTTTTTTTTCCAATATTTTATAACATATTATTAAACATTTTGTGGAATAATTCGCGTTTTTAAAATGATTTTTTTAACAATTTGATTTGTTGAAAACTGAAAACCAATCCGTCGTTAACTTCGTTGCACTTTTCTTTGTTTAACCAGACAATTTTGCTGGCTGCTACTCTGCTGGCCTCTTCTGTGTATTCTTTGCAAATGAAAAAGTTCTCTACATTATGGTTGTATTTTTTGTGGGGGTTATTCTTCATTTGTTGTTGTTGGAGGGCTTTGTGTCTTGCAAATAGCAGTAAGTTTTTTAAGGGTTGATTTTTGTTGATTCCTTCCTTTTCTTATAAGCATTTATCACATACATTTGTTTTGATTACTCATTTGGTGTTTGGTATTCCAATTTGACAATTGGTCCAATAAGATTTTAATGCGACATCCATGGAGTTGCTGATGTTTCATGGAATTGTTAACATTTTTCAGATCAGATCTTCACTTCTATAAAAATGATATTATTAAATGATATTATTAATAAAATTAATTTAACTACTTTTTTACACAAAAGATTCACTTTAAAAAACAGCCCGAGCCATAAGAAAAAGCGCCAAAATTACGGCCCCACCAAGCAGCAATTCCTTAGGGAGTTTTTGCACTTAAAATAGCAACTCCCGGTGATGCCAGATTGTGGGAAACAGTACGAAATGAAAGAACGAAGATAATTACAAAGGAAAACGAACGATAAACAACCCGAATCAAAACAAAATTACAAACAATACAACTTTGAACACAAAGGTATTAGGGCTCTATAGATCGAAATGTGACAAACGTTGAAAGGCATTCAAAAATCGAAAATGGACATGTTTAAACAGCTGTTGATAGGGTTGCTAATGTGGAAAGTACTTATTTCATTTACATTTAATACAAATATAAAAACATTTTAATAATGAAATTTCAGCAAAAAATAGGAACTATTTATTTAAAATTATTAAAAATTGAGAAAATAAAATATATATAAATTAATCAAAGGCAAATATTTTGATGTATTGTCTTCCATTGACAATGGACTAAACATTCACAACGAATTAATAGCAACGCCCAACGTTTTTGAAGCTATGTTTATGTTTAAAATTTTATATAATTGTCCAAATGTGATAGATAAGACTGGGTTTTTGGTATTCAAAAGTACTAAATGTGAACTCTGAAATGTGGATTGGTGGTCGTTGATGGAGTGTAGGACAGATGTACTAAAGGGTTTTTGGAAATTCGAACTATAACTATCCGAAAAGTAAGAAAATGTACTAAATTTGGTACAATTTCGTAGCATGTGAACGGATAGCGCTAAAAACTTGAAATTTGGAGTGTTAATTAAGGTTGAGAAGTAGGTTCCATTTAAGGAGACGGTTATGAAAGCGTGTACTATATTTGGTGCAAATTCATGTTCGAGATACAAATCGACCTGGAATCCTGAAATTTGAAATTAACATTACCGTCGTAGTTTTGGAAATTTTTACTGATGTCTACGAAAAGTAGTAAATCGTACTATAATTGGAAACTTGGATTTATGATTACTGTGGGGGTGAAGGTTTGGGTTAAGTAGGACGTTTTGGTAATTCGTACTGTGTACTAAATTTGGTACAATTAGAATTGTGAGTGAACCGATAGAGTTGGAAACCTGAAATTTGAATTAGGATCACTTTGGGGGTTTAAGTTTGAGGTAATTAGAACGTTTTGAAAACTGGTACTACTGTGTACTAAATTTGGTACAATTTGAATTGTGGGTGAACCGATAGAATTGCAATCCTGAAACTTGGATTTAAGATCACTGTGAACCATAGACCTAGAATTTTGATATTGGAATTTGGATTCCAAATTGTGAGGAAATTTTGCACACCTAAGTTTCCTTGAAATCGGTTCAGATTTTTAGTAAATGGTGCACCAAAGTTAGGTTTATTGCAACATCAGTACGTTGTGCAAAATGTTGCGACTATAAAAATGTTTTAACTTTCGATCTTTGATGCACCATTTACATAAAATCGGACGATACTGTACATGGGAGCTATATCTAAATCTGATCCTATTTTAATAAAACTTCGCATACATCAATTTGGACATAATTCAGTACGATGTGCTAAATTTTGTGTGAATCGGCCAAACTTAGGGTCTCTGGTCCGCTATTTATTTAAAATCAGCCGAATATATATATGGGAGCTATATCTAAATCTGAACCGATTTTAATCAAAATTGACAAATGTTAGACTACACTAAAACGACATATACATTAGAGCTTTTTGCCGGGTAAACCTACATTATGGGGATTTATTTGACATATATGCAAAGGAATTGACAATTGAAACCTACTGGGTTAACGAAATCCGGTTAAATGTAAACGTACTATAATTTCAGTACGTTGTGCAAAATTTTGTAGCAATCGGGCTAACTTTGGGTCCTTGGTGAACGATTTACTTAAAATCCGACGGAAATATGTAAGGGAGCTATGTTTGAATCTGATCTGATTGTTATAAAACTTCGCATATATTAATTTGGACTTAATTAAGTACACAGTGCAAGATTTTGTGTTAATCGGCCTAACGTTGAGTATATGGAGCACGATTTACTTAAAATCGGACGAAGATATATATATATATATATATGAGCTATATGTAAATCTGAACCGATTTCAGCGAATCTTGGCACTCGTTAGACTACACAAACTTCAGTACGTTGTGCAAAATTTTGTACCAATCGACCTAACTTTGGGTCTTTGGTGCACCATTTACATAAAATCGGACGATCAACAAAACTTCGAATACATCAATTTGGACATAATTCAGCACACTGTGCTAAATATTGTTTGAATCGGCCAAACTTTGGTCCGCTATTTATTTGAAATCGGTCGAAAATGCATATGCGAGCTATATCTAAATCTGAACCGTTTTCAATAAAACTTGACAAACGTTAGGCTACACTAACTTCAGTACGTTGTGCAAAATGTTGTACCAATCGGCCTAACTTTGGGTCTTTGATGAACCGTTTACTTAAAAACGGACAGAAATATATATGGGAGCTATCGGACCAAAATTAGCAGTATGGTGCTCCATTTACTTAAAATCGTCCGAAGATATATATGGGAGCTATATGTAAATCTGAACCGATTTATCACAATTTCTATCGGGTTCGTCCTTGGGCTGAATAAACGAGATGTGCCAAATTTCATTCAATTCTGATAATAGATGCGATCTGTACTTTTTTTACAATTTAACATGGACAGATGGACGGACATGCATAAATCGACTCAGAAAGTGATTCTATGGATATTCTCAAAAGAAACCATGTATATAGCTCGTTTCCTTTTGCCTATTACAAACATATGTACAAAGACATAATACCCTATACCGCAGTGTGGTGAAGGGTAAAACAAAACAAATATTATTAAATGGCGCCCAACGTAGCCACAATGGTTGTTTATTTTCATTTTTATACCCTCCACTACAAGGTGGACTGTATATAAAATTTGTTATTCTATATGCAACACATAGAAATTTATGATCAGAATAGAATTCTATGTCGATTTAGCCATGTCCGTATGTCTGTCCATTCGTCTGTTGAAATCGCGATAAATTTCACATTTACACGTTTTGTTACAGCCCCCATATAACGGTGTAATGTGTAGAAAATTTCTATACAAAAATGTTCTATATTGACCTAAGATTCCGGGCAACTTTCAATGGTCCCGATCAATTTAAGGTATTTTGAATGCACACAACGTCATGCACAAATTTTTTATCCAAAAACAATTTTGTGCATGTTCGATGCACTTTTAGGCTGTCTTGCTTTGGACGATGTACTGCTCTTAAACTGTTCCGCACTTCTTTTGCCGACTTATATAGGTATCTATGTATGTTAGCAGAAACGAAAATATTATTAAGAGTCATTCATTGCGTATAAGTATTGTCAGTACTTATACGGCCGCTAGTTCCACCAAAATATTATTTTCATTCGAGTAACGTCTATTACATACAAACATTTCTCAAAATACAGCCGCATATTTAAATTAATGCGAACATTTTGAGCCCTTAACAAATAGAAACTTTATTTTTTCAGCTGTTTAGTGTTGACGTCTATTTTTTTCTTCTTCTTTCTTGGTCGCATGTTCTTCGCCGAACAAATAAAAAACCAAGAAATAAATCTTTTGAAATTGATTGCTCTTGTACTTCGTACATCGTCTTTTGCAAAATGGTTTTTTGTGCTCTTCTCCTCTCTCTCTCTCCTCCCTTCAGTTAGAGGATGAATGTTATAATTCTTGTTTGAAGCGGCGGATTTTTTTTATTCCTGCCTCAGCCTCAATTTTATGACCGCCTGTTATGTTATTTATATGCATGTACTTTTGTATGTAATGTCACAAGAAGAGCGAGTGTAATAGGGTGGAGTGGGAGCAAATTTCAAATCTTCGTATGGAAAATCTATTAAGGGTCTTCACCAAAAAGTGAAGAAGTTAAAAAAAAAATAAGTTAACTGCAAATGTTGTAGTAGGTTTAAAAGTAGCATCGGACGGTCCACCAGCAACCAATAATTAACGCTGGACAGGTTTCTCAATAAACTCTACTATCTATAGTTTTTTGAAAATGCTTCCGCTTCGAACGTTACTGTGAAGTCTAACTCGTAGGCCTTTCGTCTTCCCAACTTCTTCGTTCGCCCTTGGGAGCTATGGATTTTTGGCGATATTTTTTTGGCAATAACAAATTGACCTTCTATAAGCCTTCATGTCCGGTACTTATAATTCTAACGAAATCTTCGATTTAATTCTCAGCTGTCATATA